TTTCTAGCCTAATCATGTGGAATTTGGACCACCGCTGAATTAGTGCTTTATCGAACCGTGGAACCTAAGTAGTGAACGGGCTACTTTTGGATGTTCGATTAATTATGGGCCAAGTTGGTCAGGTAAGGCTCAGTAGCATCTCAAGTATTTCATCGTATAAGATTTACATTTATTGAGTGCAATGAAACCGCATATGCTTGCTATTACTTGGTTTATGCATCTACTGTCATTATGCATGTGAAAACCCGTGAAACTCACCAACTCTTTGTAGTTGACTCTGTTTTGTGTCATGCTTTTCAGGTACTAAGTTATGTGGATTCTGGGAGCATTACTTGGATCACATCGATTAAGACAGTTTTTATTGTATTCGAAAATTCTTTTGTAACCTTGGAATACTATTAAGTCGATGAACTAATTATTATGAATCTTTGTAAAATGTGTCTCTTAAACTGTTGCCAAGACTCGCTTGTCTGTTAGCATCCCGTGTTTCCGCTTTAGCGGGGTGTGACAGAGGGTGTTAATCATGGATATTATCATCTTCATTATTTTAATTTTAGAGAAATACATGAAACAGTTTCATTAAAGTTTCATTAAGTAGTATATGAAACAATTTCATAACCACATATGAAACAACTTCATCAAAAAAAGTATTATATGAAACAATTTCATAACCACATATGAAACAACTTCATCAAAAAAAGTATTATATGAAACAATTTCACAAGATTAACAATTTCATGAAAAAATTTCATAAGATTAACGATGGATGAGAGTAGTTTTTACGGTTTTTACAAATTGGAGTGGTTTTCATTTGATCGCTCCTATATATATATATATATATATATATATATATAGAGAGAGAGAGAGAGAGAGAGAGAGAGAGAGAGAGAATGAAAGAGACAATTTGTTAACCCAAATTATTGTGTTAACTTTGTTAACCAATCTTGACCATTGATCTTTGAAATTTGTGGCTAAGATCATTCATGATATAAAGTGTAAATAATTGAGCACATAGACAAGGTAACATAAGTTAACAATATTTACAAGTGATATTTTTGTAAAAGATTTTAGTTGTCCATTAATGACAATAAGATGTTTTTGTAACCGCCCATTAATGACAATGTGATGTTTTGTAACTGCCCATTAATAACAATTTAACTATCCGGGAATTAATCTCGTCATCGAATTTAAACCAACAACAAGATCCCCAACACCAAATTCTTCTACAGTTTTTTTTGTTAATGGTTCATATGTGAATAAGTATTCGATATTTATGAGAATTGTTCATGTATGAACAGGGGCGTACATGGAAAAAAGTCGTAAACGACACAAGTGTGCATATATGTCAATCTGTGTTTGTATTTTGGCACAAGGGTTCATATATGTCAATTTGTGTTCATAATTGACACAATGATTCATATATGTTGAGTTGTGTTCATATATGTGAATTTGTGTTCATATGGTCACACATGTTCATCATTTTTGGTATGTTCATATGGGTCAATATGTGTTCATATTTATATCAATTGTACATATAGGTCAATCTGTTTTCGTAATTGACACAAAGTGTTCATATATGTCAATTTGTGTTCGTAATTGACACGATGGTTCACATATGTCGAGTTGAGTTTATATGGTTGAACGAATGTTTTCATATATGAATTTGTGTTCATATGGTCACACATGTTCATTATTTTTTGTATATGTCAATTTAAACGATACCGAAAATTTTACTACCAAATCTCTTCCACCAATCATAAATTCATAAACATTAGAGATAGAAAATCAATATTAAAAAAATAACAAGATTAATAATAAGTTAACACAAATCATGGGATTTTATGATTTTGTAAATTCCAATTAATGATATAGAAGTTACATAAAAAAGAAAATTACATATGTACATTTGTCATGAAATTCAAAGATGGATTAGAACCTAATACTAAGATGGATTGTGATTGATTGAAAATGGTTATCAAAGTTAACACAATAATTTGGGTTAACATTTGAACCAAGCGCGCACGCTCTCTCTCTCTCTCTCTCTATATATATATATATATATTCTCTCTCTTTATATATATATATATATAGAGAGAGAGAGAGAGTGGAACGATCAAATACAAACCATCCAATTTATACAAACCGTGCAAACCATCCTCATCCGTTGATTTCATTATTTAATCTTATGAAAGTTTTTCATTAAATTGATTAATCTTGTGAAATTGTTTCATATAATACTTTTTTGATGAAGTTGTTTCATATATGGTTATGAAATTGATTCATATAATAGTTAATGAAATTTTAATAGAACTGTTTCATATATTTCTCTAATATTAAAATAATGAAGATGATAATATCCATGATTAACACTCTATACAATCAAATTGATTAACATCTCATAATTACAAAAAAATAAACAAAATGAAAATTTATGATTGGTTGAATGAGATTTGTACGGTTTGTACAAATAACGTGGTTTGCAAAGTAAACCTCCTTTATATATATATAATTTCTAACACTCGGAGTTTTATTGAAAGACTCATGTCTAGCAGGTAATGCTACCGATTTTTGTTGTAGATCTCGATCTTCAACATAGAAATCTTTGATAGGACCTTCACGCTTTGCGGCATAGGTCTGTTTGCGGCTCCCTCAAGGGTGCTCCAACAACAGACAGATCCCGAGGCATATATGAAACACAAGTAATCTGCGTTTGCCACAAATCACTGGACTCATAGATCAAAGCTGGGCAGTCAATTGCACGCTATAACTGCGCTATATCGAATAGCAGTCCTCAATCAAATAGCGGTCCAGGTTTCACGGTCCAAATTGCGGTACCGCAAATAGCGGCCGCTATTACCGCTATTTTGCTTCCAAATAGTGGTCCGCTACAACGCTATCTCGTTGGAGACTTTTTTGCACTTATATTTTTTAAACTAAACTTAAAACAATAACTTGGGCTTTTGGTGTGGGTATTTAAGATGAAGCCTACAAAGAAAAAAAAGCAAATTAATCAAACAATTAAACAAAAAAGAAAAAACTGAATTAGGTCATCGGTTTCTCAACTCTCAGCTCTCTCTCAACTCTAAACTGATCGACTCTAGGCTCTCTCTCAACTCTAAACTGATCGACTCTCGGCTCTCTCAATTGCAAGCTACAGCCACGCTATGTTGCTTGTGTGGTTTGAATTGTATGACCTGATATGTATTAGGCATACAATATTTGAAGTTTTTGACGTGATATATATATATATATATATTATATACATATACTATATTATAAAGCATTTGACAATTCTACTTGAAGAAAGAAATAAAATCCAATCTTCCATTATAAGAAAGAAAAAGAAAGTTTCTTGCACATGAGAATTCTACTTGAAGCTAAAATTAAGGCCTGTCACTAATTTGAATGAAATAAAGCCTACAACGCATATCTAGCACTGGTTTGAGTTCCATTTTGTCCAGAACAAACAACTAAATATCGATTAGTTGGATAAAAACAAACGACTTAAGGATTCTAGATTGCATGGCTTACCAGTGAAACGATGAATGAATCAAGGGCGTGCTCTCTTGTTGGTACAAGCCGGGCATTTGTACTGCTTGATATGCTCGGCTCTAGCTGGAGTTATCTTGACGCATGATCCATGAAACCACTTCTCACAAATATCACAACAGATCCAAAACTCATCAGATGCATAGTTCTCTCCACATGAACCACATAATGTATCCCCATGCTCCTCCTCATCTTCCTCATCCAATCCCTCTTCATMATCATCATCTTTCGATGCTACTGACGCTTTTGGAAATTTAGGCTGTGGTTCAGGGCCTTTAGCCTTTCAAGAAAAACAAATATATGAAGAAGTAAGCAACTTGCAGCTAACTATTCATGGATACTATGAATCCAGAAACCAAAAGAAGATATCCCACGCAGAGGTGGCTTGTGAAAAGTTTGCAAAACAGACGGAGGAAAGCAAATAAGATGAAATTTGAAAAAAAGAAGACAGACTTATTCATTCCTTTCTTTCATTTTTCGTTTTTTATTTCTGCCCAAGTAGTTTTCAGGAAAGTTTATATTACTAGAGGAAAGCCAACGTCAAAATAAAGCCAATGTTAGTTGCACTAAATGGATTACAGCAATTATAGAAGATGGGAATTGAAATACAGCAAGAACCTTAGAGTTTGACTTTGATTTGCTGCTGCTGTGGTTTGATACCGATGATTTCTCCTTCACTTGCTTCTTAGCTGCCCCTGACACAACTTCGAAAATTGTTGGAAGATCATTTATCATGTTAAAAAGGCGTTTCCTGCATCACAAATTGACAAATTCAGCCAGAAAGGATGATCAAAGGATAGCATCAAGCATGATAGATGACAGGTCAACAAAGCTATATTCAGTTAAAACAAGTTTTATTTGGTCTATCCATAGAGCTGCCAATCAATGTTGTTTCAATATCCTGAAAAATGAAAATTCCCTCTGCACATAATATTATAAAGTGCAGCAACTGAGAGTTGGTGATCTGTAACACCCTCACATGAATGACACATCAGCCTCAAGTCAAGAAAAATAGGGGAAATCGTAACTTCAGAAAAGCACACAAGAATGTTCATGCTTCGTACTCCATGCTAAAAGAAGTGCATAAACAAACACATGTGGGTAAACAACTTTTTGAAATATAACATTCTGTTTGTTTCTTGGTGCACCCAAAACAAGCCATAGTAAGTCACATATTCCAGGGAAACAACCTATATACCCCTTGGTATACGTACATCATACCCTCCCCCAAGACCCTACCTTTGTGTGGGATATACTAGATTCCTTTGTCTATGTACTTGCTTATTACAATAAGATTAAAACAAATTTTCAAGTAGAAAGTAGATGCTTCAGATAGTTCCATTACACAACAGAAACAAAAACTTCATGTTATTGGATTGGAATGTATCTATAAGGAAAAACAAACTTGAGTGACCCCTCATTATGTGATGAATATAAAAGCAGACATTAAACACGCTAGACATCAAAATAGTGGGGCCTACTAGGGTGTTGTGTGTATCACATACCATATCCATATATAATTATTATTTCTAGTTAGTAGTTACCCTTAACTGCAATTTTAATCCAGTTTTTGATCAATCTCTGTCTTACCATGCTAGTAACAAGTGTAACTAAGGGGCCGTTTACCAAACACTTACCCGGCTAAGTGCTTACCAAGTCATATTACCTCACCAGATGAATATGGTATGGATCAAGAATCTTACCCAATAAGTGAAGGCGACGACTCTTACCACGGTAAGCACTTACCAGGTAAATTGTTGCATACGATGTCGTTTTGGTGGACTAAAATCTTACCCGGTAAGTAAATAATAGTGTTAAATTTTAGCGGTAAGCACTTACCAGGTAAGTGTTCGGTAAACGGCCCCTAAATTGAAGAAGGATCCACTTAAATGGAACAATGCAGTTTACAATTCAAGCTTACTTAATCACTATTTGTTTTACAAAGAGAAAAAAATGAAATAATAATCAAGCAACTAAGCATCATTGTTAACTTGTCAAGATTGCAAATGTAATCTAATTTCTACAATCCAAAGGTAATTAATTACACCAATTTCTTGGGCACAGAGATTAAGAAGTCTCAGTTCTATATAGCGTTATGCACTTCAAAAGTTACAGATGTTTAACTAATCATATATTATAATGAAATAGCAACCGAGTAGACCAAGGCTCTTCAGCTTTGCAAGTGTTAGGGAGATCAATCCTTGTATGGGTCTTTTGTTTGTGTTTTGCAAGGAGGTTGTTTCCACGTGTCAAAGAGAAGTTCAAAAACGAACAAAAAAGATTATAACTAAAGTACCTATCAGCTTTGTCAAATCCAAATCTTGCCCCAAAATAGAAGGCCACGGCCAGAAGCCAGGCATCACCATGTACAGCAACTAAAGCTAGCCAGTCCTTCTCTGGCATGCCATCTCTAGCAAAGTTAATTCCCAGTGCAGGTTCTGGAAGCTCCGGAGGGACCTCTTCAGCAGGCAAATTGACTTCCCACTGCTCATTAGGAAATCCGTATAGACATAGGTTTTCCTTTTCTGTACCAACACAAAAACCAACCACCTTTCCCAGTAAATGTAATACTCAAGTGTTTAAATCCTAGAGTTCAAGATAGCTGAAAACTTGAATAATGATGAAGATTGTAGATCCTTTGACTTTGTGCATCACAGCAAGAGAGACCTTAAATGCAGGTTAGAAGACTACGCTCACCATTTTTATGTTGTGAAAAGAAAGCAACCAAATATAAGTCATAGAATATGAAATTGGTGAAAAGAATAAAACTAGGTGGCAGGGAAATAGAGACATCTTATACTCTTACCGGCAAAAGTGGAACATAACAGCCATTGGCGGATCGAGTGCTGGTGGTAGGGGTCCTAGGCCCCCAACAAACCTACCAATTTTTTAAAAGAAATGCTATAAAAAATATTTGTTTAGTAAATTTTCCTATTGTGCGTCCAACAAGCACAAGCAAGGCCCCCAACAAGAACAAGGCAAGGCGCCCAACAAGAACAAGGCAAGGGCCCCCGACTTGATATCCTGATTGTTAATTGGTCCATTTGTAGCACACACTGACATTTTCGTTCGAAATATAAATATAAAAATTATACACCTCGATGAATTAGTAAAAAGTCAACTGAAAATCGACCTGAATAAGTTATCTTTATTCGATTAACTGAACCATTTAAGCCGAAAAGGAAAACCCAAAAACGTTTTCATCCAGATGAATTATTTGGTTTTGAATTTTTTTTCTACACCCCTAAGTATGCCCCAAACTATAAAAGTTTCTGGATCCGCCACTGATAACAGCCAGATTTTAACACGCAACAGACCCCAACAGAGTGATAATCAACATGGAAAGCATTTGCAAAGAAAGACTTATGCTTATAGATTTAAAAAAAAAGATGGGGCCTATACAAAAGTATAGATATAATTACATAATCACACACACTACACATACAGATAAAAACAAAATATGGAAAGCATGAACTTGTCTGGATCAGGACCCGCAGCAAAGAATTGAATACCTACGCTAAAATGTCAAATAATGGCAATGAACTACATTTACCAACACAAAACAAAATTCCTCCAAAATTTCTGGAAGAGTCGAGTAACAGCTACTGTTCAGCAACTACCATAAAGCAGGTAAAGTAGTTTAGAGATTATCCTAGCTGCTTTTCCCTATAGCACAACAGTGGTAATGTATAGGCAACCACATAACATAATATAGACTTCTTACCAGTTGTCTATGGTTGATTGGTTATGAGTTTTTCATATTCAGTTAAATTTAACAAGTCTTGAATACCAGGGCTGTTTTGTTGTTTGCAACTCATGCTCTCTCCAAACAGTGGTAATGCAATTACAAAGTTCCATGATCATATAGAACAGAAAAACTAGCATGAGCACACAAAACAGATAATAAGCAAGAGTTTCACATTTACGGAAATTGATAATGTAAAGTTCTCCATAACCATTCTTACCACCAGACTACCAGTTACCTATCAAGTACCTTCACCAGTAAATGCAAGACTCTTGAAACAATCTCAACAGGAAAGAAGGCAAGAAGAAATAGCATTTCAGCCTCGTTAGTAACCATAGTTGTTAGGCGTGCCTAAGCTCATAAGGCGCAAGAGGTTGGGCTTTTCTATGGTCGAGGCGAAAGACGCTGTGCCTTGGCTGAGGTGTCTTGTGGGCCCAGGCACGCCTCATAAAACAGACTGAAATTTTGTGTTTTTTAAGTCTTCTCATGTTCCTATCTCCTAGACTTCTACGAAAAAGACTTACCATCTCCCACGATTAATGCACCAAACCTCTTATAAATACACCCAAAACCCACCTCACTTACGCTCTTCCTCTCTCTTGATCATGTACAACTTGGTTGTTGCTCCCTTTTTACCGTACCTGTTCAGAAAAAGGTAGCATACTTGATTATCTGCTTTAATTTAATTATGCATATTTGATCATTATTATTGGAAAAGTGGAGTGCCTGCTTAGTGAAGTTTTTTCACTTCTGAAATGTGGGTAGAGGAGTGACTACTAGTTAGTGTTCAAAAAGGCACGCCATGGCGCGATATGGCACAAGACGCGTCTCCGCCTTACAAAATTGCCCATAGCATTTCTGTAAGGCGTGGCTCACGCCATGGCGTCTTGAGGGGTGCCATGACGCACCATGGCACGTGTTTTTTGTAAGACGTGATTTTTTTTCCAAAAAGAATATTTATTTTTTATTGTTTATCTTTTGTATTTTTACACTTTTAACTTTAGTACACTTTTATAGATCTAACTAATCACATCACTCACGGTTTCACAAATTCATAAACAGTACAGACTTACGGTTAAAATGAAGTTGTAAACTTACCTTTCTAAGTTCTATTTTAAATATTTAATCAAAAACCTATTTTTATAATAATATTCTATATGATTTTCTTAATATCATCATCTGATCAGATAATAACATATAACTATATATATAATTCTATACATGACATACAAATTTGCCGCCTCATGTCACGCCTTGAAAAACGCCACCTCCTCTCTGTGGTGTGTAAGGCTTGAGGCTTGACCTCGCCGCCAGGCCACGCCTTTCTGAACCTTGCTACTAGTCAGGACTTTATTGAGCTATGTTTGATATTAATGCTATTTGAAAATTGAAATTGAACTATGTTTTATATTATGCTATTTGAGTTGTGTGTAACTGTGTGTGTATATACATACATACATACATACATACATACATATATACATATATATATATATATATATATATATTTGATAAGATGCACCTCGCATTCTTGAGGCCTATGCCTTGCTCCTAGGCCCCTGGACCCCTTTGTGCCAAAATGTGCCTTGAGCCTTTAACAACTTTGTTGGTAACACCAACAATTTTGTTTTCTATCACTTTTCATATCCTTTTTTGATGTAAATGGTGGTGTGATTTCTAGTTGATAAGAAGATCAAAACTTGCTTGACAAAGCTATCGTTTTCAAAGATGAAAATTGAAAAAAAGTTAGAAATTGTGCATCATTGGATTTGAAACCTCAGCCTCACAAATGTGTTTTTACTCATAAATTACTTTTGTAGACCTTGAAAACATCACAAGTTTACAATTAATAACCACCATTTAGGGGCTGTTCGGTTCATTTTCAGTTAAGACTTGTATGGATATAGCTGTCTGTATGGATATAGTTGTCCGTATATTAACAGATAAGTTATCGTTCGGTTGTTGTGCTGAATAAACAGTCTGAATGTCAAAAATGACCATTTTACCACCAGTCTTTATTGGTCATTTTTTTGCTCATCTTAACCCTCGGTTTACCTTTAAACCTTTGAATTAAATCACTAATAACAGCAACATCAAACCCATCACGAGAACTCGTCCTTTTTGTTTCTCTTCTTCCCCATTGATTTTAGAATTTAAAAGAGCAGAAACACCAAACTCATGAATGAAATTACTAGTCAAAATACAAAAAATCAAGCATCACACACCATGAATTAAATTACTAACAACAGCAACAACACCAAGCGCATTACTAGCAAGAAATAGAGAGGGTGAGAGAAGCAGGGAACGAGAGAAGATCGACTTCAAGGAGGACCATATCAATTTCAAAGACCAAATGATCACAGATGACCAAATTGATTTCAGAGGAAGGGCATATCGATTTTAGGGGGGAGCAAATGGATCGATCGAGGGTCAATTTGAGAGGGGAACAACTATCGGTGAACCCAAATCTATGAACCCAAAATTAAAAAACTCAAATCTATGAACCCAAAATTAACAAACCCAAATCTATGAACCCTAATTTAAAAAAACACCACAAACTATCGAGAACCACAAATCACCGAGAACCAAATAAAAAAAGTCAATTTCATCAACCAGAAAAAAAAGGTTTAGATTGATCAAGAGGAGCCGGCACTGTGAAGATAAAACCCATTTGTTTGAAGAAGAAAATAGTAGATGTAGAACCCTAAAACGAAATGGGAACAACTATTGATCAAGGCACAAACAAGAAAAAAAACCAGTTGTCGAAGATGAGTAGATCAAAGAGGGAGCAGCCGTTGATCTTGGATGCAACCCATTTGTTTAAAATAGTAAACATACCGGTTGATCTAACAAGAGTTTGTGTAGTGCCATTTTTGTTTAGATTGAGGAAGCAAGCACGTCTGTAGAAAAAGGAGATGGTAATGAGAAAGGGGGTGGGATGGGGAGGAAGGGAGGACTAAAGGAAAGAAAGGGTAAAAGGGTAATAAATGGGCTGAGTCTATATGACTTAACTTTTAGAGCTGACCGAATAAGTCATGTTTTTAGACATTAAGCCACTTCCGAACAGCTTTATATAGCTTACCGAATAAGCCATAATCTCTATGCAGTCCATTAAGCTCTTACCCAACAGCCCCTTACAAAACTTTGTAACCTTGATTTTGTTCTCGAAAAGCACAGGCAGTACTCAAACACCATCTTTCTATTCGGTTTATGCATTTTTAAAAACATAAATGGAACATATAAACAAGGTAATTGCCAAACAATATCTTAGTGAAAGACAGTAATGATAAGAGAAAGAAGAAAGAAGTAAACGTAATTAATAGACGTGCACCCTGATTACTGTAATTGAAGTGAAGCATTATAACCCTTGCAGCAGACCCAACATAACATCTTCAATGGCAGTAACCATATTATGACATACAAGAACTTAATAGCAAGTACCATTATTGTTTTGACATAAGCAACAAAAACATGCAAGTATTTGAAAACAAAAATAACACAAGTAAGACACTAAATGAAGTAAATCATCCTGGCAACTTTGAGCTGATAAAGAAAAGTCATCACAAATAAGTTGATACAATAGGTGCCCTGAAGGCCTAAAGCAAGTAACTAGGGAGATAATAATCAACTTGTATGTAGAGAACAAAGAAATTCAAGGACAACAAAGACCTTGAGCTTGAGGAGCTCCCGTACACTTTTGCCAAAAATTTGTAACAAACACCGGTCAATTCCTCTCTAGTTAAGAACCAACGTAATTCAAATTATCCGTTCACCAGACCAACTAGGGCTATTTGCTACTGTTGTGATTCAAATTATTTGTGAACACCAATCACAGTGACATGAACTTGGGAATTGACCTTTCATGCCTCCATAGACAACATATGAAACCACAAAGCATACCTCACTTTCCTTGACACAGATATACCCATGCTTAATGATATGTATCATTAATTGTTTCCCATTTCACACTGATAATGTAGTCTATTTACCATCAACAAAGAACAAAATTCTACTCCTTCCCATCTATGCGAATTGCAACAGTTGCTATTTTTGGATGTCTAAGTAAATATTGCAACAAATTCTATTCTCGTAACATTTCAAGATACAACAACTTTTGAGTGAAGTGAACTGGTTTGACTTGTCGCTATTAAACTTTCTCTTATAGTCAAAGACTTCCAAAGTCTCAATTTTCAAGGAGGATGAAGTAGTTAAACCCTACTTGAACAGAAAGAAATTGATCCAGAAGTGCGGAAAAAGACTAAAGAGAAAACTGACCAGGGTCACACTGCTGATAAAATTCTTCAACATCTGCCAAAACTCAAAACAAGATCAAATTAGATCAACAACCTTTAGTAAATTTAACAGCTAAGCTTAACAAACTGAACAGCGGAGAGTGATATTGCTTCGAAAGATGTAAATAAATAAATTAAATTCTAAAGAACGCAAACGGTTTCTAGTATCAACCAGTGGTAAGAGCTTTAATGATGCCAGCTCTTCGACTCTTGAAATCTCTAAAAACCTCTTCGACAGTTCGAGGGTTGTAGGGTTGACTTCCGTCCATCTCGTTCAACGCAATCGTATGTACGTGCGTATGAATACTTTTGAGTTCTTAGATCGAAGAAGAACCCAAATCTAGGGATAGAGAGCGTGGGAGGAATTGGGGAGAAATTATTTGACCTGGGCTGCGAGAAGAGAGAGGAACTTGGATTGAAATTATGATTTAACGAGGATTTGACAAAAAGTGGGAAGAACTTGACTCGGCTGGTCACTGACATGTCCATGGATGTTGGATTTGGCCCATTAAGAGTATAAAAAAAGAACCCTAATTTGTGTATAAGCGGAAAAGTAAATCAAATAAACTTTTTGATTTTAAACTCTTTAGTTCTTAAATTTTTTTAATGAAAAAATCAATCTTCTTTTTCATTTTAAATTATTAAGTTTCTGAACTATTTTTTTTAATAAGAATCTCATTAAACTTTCTCATACTGGTAACAATAAATTCTAAAAAAAAAGGTTTCAGGGAGCTTATTATTAAGCAGCAGCCTCTAAAAAGAAGAACTTCGCTCTTTTTCTTCTACCTCGTTCACAATGAAAGAAGGAACTTCGCAGAAGATCAGTCTGCAAGTCTCATTCTCTTGCACTCGCATCCGTCCTTTTGCAGTTTATCAAAAAATTATGAATGAGGCCCGCCCCCCACTACACTTGGCTCTACTTATTTACAATGGTGAGTCGTCTGTCTACGCGATTTGACAGTCCACAACCCCCCCCCCGACAGATGAAAAGCACTAGCCTGATTTTTTATTGATTAAGTCCTTGAACAATTTTCTAATAAATAAACTATTGCAATTTTAAAAATTAGTTACTTACATTTTTTTAACCCAAAAAAAGTTACATTAACTGACTAGTAAAAAATTCGATGGTTCATTTATTTCTTTAAAAGAATCCAGGGTCTTAATCATTTAAAATGTGAAAGTTTAATGGTTTTTAATTCAAAAAAATTGTCTAAGAACTTAATCGTTCAAACTAAGAATAACTGTTTTTTCGTTGAAAAAAATATGTTGATCCCCTCTCTCAGTAATTTGATGATGATCTTTTTTATCTTACGAAAAATATTTTTTCTTTATTCAGCTTCAACGGTCATCACTGAGCATGTTCAATGATCGCTGAACAGTATTGTATATCTCGAGACAAGTACTTTTCAAGAAGACAAAACTCACACCACAAGAACTTTAACGGTATCGAAGATAAAGATGAAGACAGAGACAAGCGGTTCGTGATCTGATGCGGTTTCAGTGATAACAAGTGTTGGATCGATTAACTCAGATTCTTGGTAAAGATTACTTACTTGGATGATCTGTTTTACAGTGAGAATGCAGC